AAGGAAGGAAGAAAGGATAAAGATTTTAACTAAAACAACGATGTGATCACGATTGTATCTTTGAACGACAGAACTAAAGTGGACGCGGTCAAACAAAGCATAAAAAGAGGCGGGAAATTGTCAGATAAAAGAATTGGAAAATGTCAGGAACAAAAAGAGATCGTCTGCTGTAATGATATAAATGGCGGCTACATGGCTACATCATGGAAAATAACACTGTCAGACACTGTGATCTTCCTGAGATTGTAGTTTACACAAGCCGACGACAGAATATTGGCAACGGGAGATCTGAAGATTTCGTTACCATAGAAAAGTCGAAATACCGGCGAGGGAACCCTTACAGATATGAATTGTGGTTAGCTGTATTGTAGGCATTTTCAATTTTCATTTCCATTTTCAACCGAAATCATGAATTCATTTTTTTTTTAAATAAGTTTGCCAAGTCGTCCTCTACTATTGCACATATTTGTGCTAGACGACTATCAAATCCTAAAGTTTGCCCACAAAGTTCTAGATTTACTCGTTTACTAAGTTGATTTACTTAGTTTTGTTTATACAAGTAGTTTGCAGTTGGTTGCCAGTAAACCTGATACGCAGATTCAAGTTAAACTACAGTCGGGAGTTTATTTCAATATTTTTTTAGAGATAATGCGAACGTGCTAAAATGAACGTCTACAGCACTCTAAGTAGCCAATCAGAAACAACTAAAAACACGCAGTTTTCTCTGAAGTACAATATTCAGAAGCGGTTGTATTATACTAATTTAAGCACATTATTAGCCAGCTATGATATTCATTAATTGTATTACTAGCACTGCTCTACATTAAAATCAATTACGCTTTTTTCATTCCCGTGTTCTCAAAAATAATTGAATTTAAAATGAATATTAGTATATGCATCTTTACTTATAGGACTGGATACTAAAGGATTTGCGAGTCCTTTTCAGGGGCGGATCCAGGGGGTGCAAGAGATAAAGCCCCCCACCCCTTTCAGAACGTTGGTTATGTTTCTTGAAGTGGAATAGAAAGTATATATATATTTTTTCAATTTTTGATTTTTTTTTTTTTGTTTTTT